AACAGAAGACAGACTGAAAAAAGAAAAGCATACAAATTTCCTTAGTAAGTTTACATGTCATAGAAGCTTTCATATTGACGGCCTGAAAAATGGGTGAACCTGAGTACTGGTGTGCCAGGTTTGATGAATAACAGAGTTGTGGAGAATGACGATAGAAAAAAGGCAAGAGCTAATGACACTAAATTGGGGGGACTTAGCAAGGCCTGTTTGTTTAGAGTTCTCTTTCTGTGACCCTGTGTCTTCGTGTCTTCGGGGAAAAGGATACTCTTTTCCTCTGGGTATTGGGAGGGCACTTCTTACATGAGAATCTTAAGGCCTGTGTTGGAGGAAGATCAGAAAAATCTTTCTCTAGTTTTATGACCTGCTTCAGGGAAGAAGAGTGGAGAGCAGTTGGGAGTGATTTTCCTGCCTGCTGCTTTCTCAAATACCAAAGTGCATATTTTGGGTTGAACTCAGGGCCTCCATCTTAAGCCACTCCACCAGCCCTTTTTTGTGATGGGTTTTTTTGAGATAGGGTCTCTCAAACTATTTACCCAGGCTGGCTTTGAATTGTGATCCTCCTGATCTCTGCCTCCCGAGTAGCTAGGATTACAGGCATGAGCCACTAGCACCCATCAGCATGCAGGTTTTTAGTGAACAATTCAATGTCAGTGTCTTCATACATATTTGTACCTCTATAGCTATCCATGTGCACACATGAACACATACTCTTTTAACTCCTATTTAGATCAAGATAATAAAAGATGTCCAAAATTGTAGAGAATTCCCTTGTGTCCCTTCTAGGTCAAAGAAGGGGTAGCTGCTATTCTGACTTAAATACTGAAAAGTTGTCTTGAATGCATAGTATATTTTGGTTATTGATGTTGTTTGTTTGTTTGTGACAAATAAGTAAGGGAAAGAGCAATTCACAAATTTAAAAGTGGAAAAGTGAGGATGTTCCAGGAGGGTAGGTTTTTAGTGCAGGAGTCTTGGTAGATGCTTGGCACTGGAGGTCTGGCTAAGGTACTGGGCTTTAAGTTGCTAGGCAAGGAGAACTCATGCTGTCTGGAGACCAAGTGGGAAGATTCTGTGCCATGTGAGGAAGACCTGTACTATGTTGGTTGCAGTGAGACTAGAAATGGGGCAAATTGAGAGCTGTTTTGCAGGTAGACTTGCCTGAACAACCTGTCTGACTGAGTATGGATCAGTAAGAAGGAGAAGGAGTGATGGGAACAAAGCTTGATTGACTAGTGGAACCTAGAAATAGACACAACTAGAAGGCAGAGTGATGCAAATGAAAAAGACACATGTTCAGCCTTGTATCTGATGGCAGAATATCAAAGCGATATTACACAGGCAAAGAGTAACAGGGCTGGAGTATGGGTATAGATACTGAGTTTCAGCATATTGGTGGGCTTAATTTTCCAGATGAAAAAGACATATAGAAAGTGTTTCATATTAGGTATTTGCAAAAGAGTAGAAAACTGAGAAATGACCTAGTAGACCAAATCAACAAACCTGAGTTATTCCTAAATTTTGTTTTAGAGGTATTTCCTTATTAAGCTTTAGTTTTTCAGGTCATCTTGCCTCGCATTTCTGCCTTCATATAACTAGACATGAGGTAAGGAGACTTAATTTTAGATTCAAAACAAAGGTAAACTAAAAAAAAAAAAAAGTCTGAGGTTGGTAATACTTACAATACACTGAGTAATATTCAATGCAGTTCTGTTTTTCCTGCATGTTTTCTTTATTCATTTCCAATAAGAAGGACCTGGGGTGGGAGGGTGGGAAGGCAGATGAGAAAACTCAAGTGGCAGTCTGTTTAGTTTAGTAATAGAGGCAATGAATTCTGAACTTTGACCACCATCTTCTGACTGGGAATTATAGGCTTCATGCTCTGCAGGGTTTTTCTAATGTGAGAGAGTTTATTGGTATATAGAAAACCATAGTTCCAAAATAATGGATCACCCTCCTTGAGCCCCATTATATATCATCTTAATTTTAAAAATCTTTTTTATTTCACAGTGGACTTAATTGTATCCTATAATGATATTAAGTCATATCCCTAACTTCATAAAGAAAAAAAGTCTTCATAAAAATGTTTTATCTAATAATAAAGCTGAGACTATATTTAAGTCCTACATTGAGACATTCTCAATATTAAAAGCTAAATTATCCAGCTTAAATAAAAGACATGTAAATTTTTTTTGAAATCTTTTGAAACTTGTGTATCATTTGGTAACCTTTTATAATACATTTTGATGTGAAATTTTAGGCCTTTGTAGTGATTTCTTTAATAAGGAAGGAAAATAATTGTCATTTTGTTTAAATGCATAGTATTATTTTGAATTATGAAAGCAAATAGTTTGAGTCATTCTCTGTACAGATGACCTGCTTTCAGTCTATTTCAAGTGTATTCCTTTCCTGATAAACTTTACTATTATTTTCACTACACAAAAATAAAACAACAACAATAAAAAACATTGTTTAAAAGCAGGGTATTGTTAAGATTATAAAACAAATACTTTATATTATTGTGGTTTTAAAAAAATTTACCCTGAGATCTATTCTTTTAGAAAAAGTGTTGTAGTGTGTATTACAAAATTGTTTAAGCATACAGTTCAGTATTGTTCCCTGTTTGTACACTGTTACACAGCAGATCTCAGAACATTTTCATCTTGTGTGACTAAAACTATACTCATCAGATAGCAACTCCCCCATCTGCCTCCCTCCAGCACACAGCACATACCATTCTATTTTCTGATATCTTTGTGTTTGACCATTTTAGATATAGCTAGAATCATGCAATACTTGTTCTTCTGTTACTGGCTCATTTCACTTAGCATAATCTTCTCAAGGTTCATCCACATTGTAGCATATGACAGAATTCTTTTTAAAGGCTAAATAATATTTCATTATTTCATTGCATTGTATATCACATTTTTATCATCAATTGATGGACATGCAGGTTGTTTCTGTCTTTTGATTATTAAGACAAAATACACTAAATCCTCTTTATTTGTGGTTTTGCTTTCCAAGGTTTTGTTATGTGTGATCAATTACAGTCCAAAAAATTAAATGGAAAATTCCAAAAATAGTTTATCAGTTCTAAACTGTATGCCCTGCTGACTAGCATGCTGAATTCTCTCGCCATCCTGCTGTATCTTGTCTGAGACGTGAATCATCCCGCTGTCCATTTTATTCATGCTGAATACACCCCTGCCTCTCAGTCATTTAGCAGGCATCTTGGCTATCAGATTTACTGTTGTAGTAAATCGGTACTGTGTTCGAGTGACCTTTACTTCTCATTGGCTCCAAAGCACGAGAGTGGTGATGATGACAATTCATATAGATTAGAGAGAAGCTGTAAAGTGCTTCCTTTGTGTTAAAAGTTGAAAGTTCTCAATTTTATAAGGAAAGAAAAACTCATGTGAGAGGTTGCTGAGATCTGTGGCCAGAGTGAATCTTCTATCCATAAAATTTTGAAGAAAGAAAATGAAATTCATGCCAGTTTTGCTGCCATACCTCAAAGTGTAAAAGTTACAGCCACAGTACATGATAAGTGCTTAGCTAAGATGGAAACAGTATTTGTGGTTTGGTATTTCTGTGGTTTTCGGCATACAATAGGGGTCTTGGAACATATGCCCTATCAGTTTGGGGAAGGTGGTGGCTACGGTAAGTGCTTTTAATTGTCTCACTTTGAAAAAACATTTTTGCAGTTGACTTTTACTTCTAATGTCTAAGCAAGAAAGCACTTTCTGTTTTTCCTATTGCTAATAACAATGGAGACTAAATGTCAGTGTATTTGTGCCTAACTCGATTCTTAATACTTTTATCTATTCTTTAAGTTTGGATAAAAATACAGTTCTGAAGCTGGGCATGGTGTCATACTTCTGTAATCCCAGCAAGGGAGGTTGAGGCAAAAGGATTGTGAATTCAAAGCCAGCCTGGGCTACATAGTGGGACTCTGTCTCAAAAACATAAATTAACGAATGAATGAATGGATAAAACACAGTGCTATTCTCTGCCTATTTTCTACTACAATTCAGTGTGATTTTCTAATCGATGCTGGGTCAGATAAACAGGTCAAAAGGAAGTTACACAGCTGTGCTTTGGGTCATACTTTCTGTCTACTTTAAGCTGTTCTGAGCTTGACTGAGCACTATCCAAGGTGGGGCTTATGTTTTTTATGTTATGCTTAGCCTTTGTGTATTTTCATCACTAAGTTTGAAATCTTGGGTTAATAACTGGCAAAAGAAGGCTTGAATTTTAATTATTTGACTTTTAGAGAAAATCTTAATCTTCTGGAGAGGGAGATAAATCTCGAAGTCTATGTTCTATGAATGATGTCAATGTTCTAAGCCAACAATGAAGCTATGTTATCATCTCTAAGAACTTTTTTACTAGGCACATGCTCACTCAGTAGACATAAAGTGAACCTCTCATTTGGGGGGTTAGGGACACACTGGGGATTAAACCTAGGGCCTCAAGCATTCTTAGGCAGGGACTCTACCACCGAGCTACATCTCCAGCTCCTGGGTTTGTTTTTCTAAGAGAACAAGCTTACACTTTGACTTTTTGCTCTAGGTGGTTAATTTTTCTGAGCCTCACTTCTTCAATTTATAAAATGGATGTAGTTATGATTACTCCCTAGGATTGCTGTGAAGAGTAAGAGATAAAAAGAGATGACCCAGGCAAAAATGTCTGGCTTAGTACAGAGTGAATATATCTCCATGGTACATTCCTCCTTAGTGCTAGAATTGTAGAAAGAAGGAATTGAATAGTGACTACCATTTCATGAAAGGTTTTGTGTCAGTACTGAACTGTTCATCTACTCTGCAGAAGGTAGAAATGGAGTTGCTAATTTTAAAAGTGAACACATGGAGTGAGGAAAATATAATTTAGTTAGACAATATAAAATCCATGAGTATGTTCCTTTTCATCTTAAAACTGATTATATATTTAAATATATTGATATTACTAGAAAAGTTATTGATTAATTTTTTGATTTACAGAGTATTGTTACAATCACATTTGAAGTACCAGGAAATGCAAAAGAAGAAAATCTAAATGTATTTATTCAGGTGAATGTAATTTTTAAGTGATCAATGATTTATCAACTGTTTTGTCACATTAGCAATGGTAGTCTTATTAAAAAATATGTCACTTGATACAGAATCTCCTGTGGGAAAAGAATGTGAGAAACAAGGAGGATCACTGCATGGAGGTCATACGGCTGAAGGTGCAGTATGCAGTTTATCCTTGTAGACTTTTGGACAAAGCCCTTTTCTTGCCTGTTATATAAAAAACATTTAAAGAACAAAAGCCCTGGTTTAGCACAAATGTCTTCTTTCATTTTTATTATTTCCATGCTGAAAAAGAGCTTTAGAAATCACAGTAAAAAGCATGATTTATTTGTGCAGCTTCATTTAGTGTTGCAGCTAAAACAACCTATGTGTTTTGAAATGTTAGCGCCTGCTCTCACTCCCAGGTGTTCAGAGCAGTTATCTGAATAATGAACTTGACTCCGTCAAAATTCTCTTCCTTTTGGTGCACAGATTGACTAGGTAGATAAAACTGTTTATTTTTCCAAGAGAGCTTCATTTAACAGAGAAATAGTGTTGAAAATCCTGCCACTACTAAGCTTCTTGATTGATTTAGCAGACACTAAACATTTGTCATACTCTATTCGAAGTTACAGAGAACTAGAAGAAGTCTTGCTCTGTGTTTGGAAACTCATTCATATTACTTGACAAAAGTGTTTTTTTCAAGAGGCACTGGTTCCAGATGTATGCTTAGCCAGTCAGCAGTCATTTGAGTGTCTACTGTTTTGGGTTCACACGTGTGAATAAAGTTTCCATCACTGTTAGTGCCTATAGATTCCTTCTCAAGTTAGCACCTGACTTTTTGATACTAAGGAGAAACTATTTAGATTTGGATTTCTTCACTCCCTCTCCTGACTTTGCCTAGAATTGGCTTTGCAAAGTAAGACAAGTTAATACCAGGCTACTTCTACATCACTCCCACTTAGAGGTACTGAGTCAGATCCTGATGCTGCTTGTTGAGTGCAGCATCATTGATATTCCATGATTCTAACTGGCAGACCATAGTTCTTTCTGCAGCTGCCTTCTGTCTCCTAGTACTGAATGGAGGTAGTTACTCAGAAAAGCAACAGTTTGGGCATTTATGCTAATATTCAGTGACTTGTCTTGTACCATCTCAGTTTGGATCTTGTACTTATATGTATGACAGTTTTCAGTTTTTGGTTCTTCCTTTGATCTTTTTCCTAATCACAACATTGAGGGGGATTCTGTAGTAACACAGTCTAGACCTAGACTTCCTTCTTTTACCTGTTATAAAGTATTAGTCTTCCAATCAAATGTTAACTCTAGGAGCTGGCTAGAGCACTTACCTAGCAGTGTGAGGCCCTGGGTTCAATCCCCAGTACCCTCCACCCACAAAAGATTAACTCTAGCAACAGCCAATGGTTCCAAATAATTATATAATCAACAGAAAACTGATACTTATGTAGTAATTTCCAAGGTGTTTCTTATTACAAAAATTCAAAATTAAAAAGCAGAAGACAAAACTGGACATAGAAAAAGAAAAAATGGGAGGGAATATACCCAAAGTTGACAACTATGCCAAAAATACACAAAAATTATGCAATGGGAATGACTGAGTAGTTTGTCTCCAATTTTTTAAATGTATATATATTATGACAAATAAATGTAACAAACATTATTTCAGAAAATAATTTCATCCCATAGCCAGATTACCAAATAATCTGTTTCACATTTCTTTAAATCAATATACAGTGAACTTTTATCCAGATGAATAAAAAAATTTTTTATCTCATCATTATCTATTTTTGTAACCCATTTCCAAAATAAATTATTTAATCATTGTATATTTTAACTTCTCAAATTTTCCCACTCAATCTATGAAAGAAGTATAAAATCCTTAAAAGGAGAATAATTAGCAGGATGTGGTACATCACATATTTTATCATTTTGTTTCAGTTTTTGTTGTAATAAATAACAGAGAGAACATCCTAGTATTTATTAATTTTACCGTTAGTAAAGGGAATTGTTTTTTAAAAATTCAATGCACATATCACCTTGTTTTAAACAAGCAGTTTTAAGAAATTTTTTCAATGTACAAATAATTGGAATTAAATAATTTTCACAACTTATTTTGAAAAAGAATAGCAAATATTAATCCATTCACATTGATGCGCTATTTCTGCTTTTTTTTCTTTTATTCATATGTGCATACAATGTTTGGGTGATTTCTCCCCCCTTCCCCCCCCACGCCCTCCCTTTCCCCCTTCCTCCTCCCTCTCCCCCACACCCCCTCTCTACCAGGCAGAAACTATTTTGGCCTTGTCTCTAATTTTGTTGAAGAGAGAGTATAAGCAATAATAGGAAGGACCAAGGGTTTTTGCTAGTTGAGATAAGGATAGCTGTACAGGGAGATTCCTCGCATTGCTTTCCTGTACATATGTCTATTTCTGCTTTTACATTTGAATGGAGGCTGATCGTTTTCCTTTGAGCAGGGACTCGTGTCAATCAAAGACAAACCACAACAAGTGATCATCCAAGGTGTCCATGAGCTCTATGACCTGGAAGAGACTCCAGTGAACTGGACAGATGATGCTGAGAGAACAAATCGTTTGGTCCTTATTGGTAAGTGACAAGGACAAAAATTCTAAAGCAAAATAAAAAATAGATTTGAGAGCCAAGTGTGGTAGTGCATGCCTATATCCAACACTTGGGAACTAAGCTCAGAGGATCAAGAGTTCGAGGCCAGCCTGGGCTACATAGCGAGACCCTGTTGCAAAGTAAATAAATTAATTAATTAAATAGATAGATAGATAGATTGATAGACAGAAGGGGATATTTAACCAACAAGATACTGTTTTGTAACTAAATAAGCTTGTGGCTAATTTATTTTTCTTAGTCATGTAACATTCTTAAAAACTTGTTAGGCCTTTTGTTCTCTACATACAATTTTAGAAAATAAAGTGATTACTCCAAATTACTCCAAGCGTCAATTTGGTTTTGAGACATAAGTAGAAAGGTAAAGAAGGACTCATTTATTTACTATTGTTATTGTAAATTTCTAAAGATCATCAAGCATTTAATACTCTGGAATTTATAGATGAGTTGTGTTGTTTTAATAAGAATAATATAATCACTATATTTTATTTTGTTTGCAGGCAGGAATTTAGATAAGGATATACTTAAACAAATATTTATAGCTACTGTGACAGAAACAGAAAAGAAGTGGACAGCACATTTCAGAGAAGATCAAGTTTGTTCATAACACTAGAAGCATTTCTTATCAAAAGGAGTGAATGATGAAACAAGGAGAAGTTTTTGAGTTGGGTGTATCTCAAATCATCTATTGTCTTCATTACTCTTGTTGTGAATTCCAATGTACTTAAAGATAGTATTTATTTTTCAGAATGCATAAAATTTTAGTGAACCAATGCTGTAAAACTTTATGTTCATACAATAAAATGTCCTCTGATTTCATAAAAATTTCTTCACAATTCCTTTTGGAGTTTAAGTATGCTCAATTTCTCTCACCCATCATTATTTATAATGATGCCAGACCTTTCTTCATTTTCCCTTAGAACTTCACCTTCTCCCTTTATGTTTCTTAAATGTTCTCGGTGCAGACTGGTGTTTAGTTCAAGGAGCTGTGTTTGGATTGCTGAACATCTGACTGAAAAGATACAAAAACATATTAGTAGCAAAATGCCTATTGCCATAAGGTACCAGAAGGAATGTTTAAGGACATTGAATGGACTAAAACCTTGCAGCTCATCTAATATAGTTTTTGCCATGTCAGCAGGAGAAATGACCTGGTCATATGCTCTCTGCATTGCCAGTATCTGTAATCTGAGGTGTTGCAAATTTAAGGTGTCATTGCTGTTTTCCCAGGCTCCCATTATGCGAGCTTTGATGCTCTGCCAAGGATACTCCGACTCTTTGTAAGGAGCAGTAGTGATACAGATACGCTGGAAGCCCGCATAACATAGGAGGTCCTGTCTGAATTTTCTAGTTTGTTGCTCATCCCCCCATAGCGAGGAAAGCAGCCTCCAGGGTATTTAAGCAGACATCAATTTTTTCATCTATAGACACTTGTTTTTGAAAGGTGTAGGTGGTATTTTGAATGAGTGTATTAACATAGTGGGCATTTTACTGTTCAGTGGCATTGAAGCCCACCAATCCTCAGGTGGCAGAATGTCCAATCCTTAGTTGTTATAGAGTAACAACTGAGCAGTAAAAGGGGCAGTAGGACCATACATATGTCTGCTTGAGCTCTTTTAAGGCTTGGAATGAGACTTGTTCATGAACTCTGGTAAGTGCCTGAGGATGATTCTGATCAGGTTTCTCAGCCCCCGGGTAGACACAAAAACCTGACATATCTTCCCCATGCATTTGTGCTAGTAATAAGGCCTTTTGTAAGGGACTGCTATGGCTCTCACGTCTTGGGGGCCATGGACGGTCCCCCAAGTGAAGAGTCTCTTTTAATTGATGAACCATGGCATCTTCATATTCTTTTCCCTCAGAACTGGAGTCAGAGCTCGAGTCTCAATCCTCAGTCTTATATTTATGGTATTCAAAGACAGGCTTTGTGTCTCCTAGGGGTGGAACAGTCGGACAGGTAATAGAGTCCTCCCCACTTATTAGAGTCTGGTGTCCCCCTGCAGGTACCCTGGAAAAACTCCCTGCACCTCTAGGCTCTGACACAGGTGAGGGAAATTTTAATTTATGTATGGGAGTTGGATCTAAACAGTCTCTGACTCCACAAACCAAAAGTAAAAACTGGCCTGCCGTCTGGCCCTTTAGCCATGTAACGGTCTTGGAGTCTTTCTCCCACCTTTTGCCAAGTATCAAGATTTACGGTGCCTTCCTCTGGAAACCAAGGACATGTGTCCTGAACATAATCTAAAAATTGTACAAGCTGAAGCGACCTAATTTCGCTTCCTCCAGTTTTAAGCATTACTTTTAGCATTTGTACATAGAGATCTCTTTCCTTTGAGTGGTTTTGTTCCATCATTTTACACCCAGCTATATCTTTTGCACTCTCCCCATTACCTTAATTTACAGCGCTCACCACTCCACTTGGAAGCTGTGAGCTCCCTGTTGCCAGGCCCCACCTTGGGCACCACCTCTCACAGCCAGCATGAGCAGGTCCTTTGACCTGACTGGGAGCAAATGGGGATTGAGAAAAAAGACACAAAGACAGACATATAGAAAAGCTTGGGACTGGGCGGGTCCAACACTCCTGATGAGAGATCCCCTTCCTCATCCCCAATAATCTCCCTTCTACTTTAGTATCTTTTCTTTCTTTTTAACTCTAGATCACTCATATGAGAAAAAACATATGGTATTTGTCTTTAGAGTCTGACTTTCTTTTACTTAATATAATGATCTCTGGTTCCATATATTTTATTGCAAATGACAGTTTCCTCTTTTTTTAAAAAAATTTTTAGTGGTACTTAAAGCTGGAACTCAGGGCCTCGTGCTTGCAAGCAAGGTATTCCACACTTGAGCCACTCCGCCAGCCCATTTTGTTTTAGTTACTCTTTGATTAGGGTTTTACATTGTTTATGCGCTGACCAGCTTGAACCACAATCCTCCTACTTACACTTCCTGCATAGCTGGGATGACAGGTGTGTGCCATCATACTCAGCTTTTATTGATTGAGATGGGGTCTTAGCAAACTTCGCTCGGGCCTTGAACCATGATCCTCCCATGAATCTCAGCCTCCCAAATAGCTAGAATTACAAGCATGAGCCACCATGCCCCACTAATTTCCTTATCTGTGGCTGAATAAAACTCCATGGTGTATATATACCACATTTTTCTTTATCCATTCACTGGCACCTATGCTGATTCTATAACTTGGCTATTGTGAATAGTGCTACAATAAAGTTGGCTGCGCAAGTATCTCTAATATATTGTGACTTCACATTCCTTCAGATAAAAGCCTAGGAGTGGTCATATGGGAGTCCTATTTTTAGCTTTTTTGGGGACCCTCTATGCTGATTTCTATAATGGTGGCAGTAATTTACATTCCCACATACAGTGTATAAGGATTCCTTCGTCCTCTCCCCCAACTTCCTTCACAGCATTTGCTGTTTGTTTTATTAATGATAGCCACTCTGAATGGGGTGAGAGGGAATCTCAATTTAGTTTTGATTTGCATTTCCCTGGTGGCTGAAGATATTAAACATTTGTTCATGTATTAGCCATTTGTACTTTTGTGAGAACAGTCTGTTCAATTCATTTGCCCATTTATTTGATTGGGTTCTTTTTTTGTGTTTATTTGGTGTTTAATCTTTTTTGTTCTTTATATATTGTGGATGATAATCCCCTGTCAGGTGAACCGCTGGCAAAGATTTTCTCCCATTCTGTATGCTGTCCCTTCACTCTGGTAATTGCTTCCTTTGTTGTGCAGAAGCTTTTTAATTTGATGCAATCCCACTTGTCAATTCTTGGCTCTTATTCCCTGACCTACTAGAGTTGATCCTATTTAGAAAGTCTTGTTACCTGTGCCTATTTAGAGATAAATTTTGAAAGTCAAATAATCTCTATATAAATCATTGATGTATACATATTCAAAGACTTAATTTACTATTCCTGCTAAATGTCAAGTCAGCCTAAGTATGTTCAAATTTTAAGAGAAAAGCATAGTGACATTTAATGAAGAGCTTTCCCAAACTAATAGTTGTCAGCTTATCAGAGAAGGCTATCAAAATGGCTTTGGGGATTTTTTTTCTCCAGAATTTTAAGAAAGTAGTTACATCTGAGTGTTCTGAATGACTGTGGCGGTTGGAAGCGGAAGACTTGATTAAGTTATCCCAAGTTGGTTATGACTACTGTATTCTTTTGCATCAACCAGTGAGGCTGCAGTATCTTCATTCTCCCTCATCCCCATTCTAAGCTCTTAAAAAACAGCTCATTTACAACCACCCAATTGCCTCCTGAACCCATTCTCTTAGTTCACGTTTGAGAGAATACACTTATTTTGTGGCAGTGAATTGCCCAACAGAAAGTCAGCTGAATTTTTAATCAGATCTGGGCTTTACTTCTAGCTTTGCTGCTTCATAGCTGTGTAATCTCTGGCAAAGTATTTATTTTTGTCTGAGATTGGTTTCCTTTTTTTAAAATTATTTTTGTACTGTGTGTACATTGTGACATTTAGCAAAGGTCTTACAATATATCATAGTTTAATTCATCCCCTCCATCATTCTCCTTTATCCTCTCTCCCCCCTTGGTTACCTTCTTTATGAAGTAGATAATGATAATATCAACCATTCAAGAATTAAATGGGTTTATAATATACCCAACACAACTTCTGGCACATAGCAGAACCTACGTAAAAATTTTCTTTCTAAAAACTTAAAATTGTTTATAATTAATGTCATAACAGTAACAACATTCTTTGGCGAATAGTAAGATTTATTTGTTCTAAACCATGAAAAGGAGCTTATAATTAATTGTCCTGTTGTGAGGAAAATGTTTGAAATAAAATCTATACCCTTGAAAATCTGTATTAATTAGACTTGAATATTTTTTCCTAACAGGTGTATTAAATTAATCTTTAAGTATTTTTCATTGCACATATATTACGTAATACCTTTTTGTTATAAGAATACACACATTACAGGTGAAGTCAGTCTTCCCTAACCCTTCTCCTCTTCCCTGACCCTATAACTTCTTTAGACTACACCAATGTTCTGTCCTTTCAGACATTTTCTTTCACTTACGCTTTCTGTTTCCAAAGTGAATTATCTTCCAAGAATCAGAGCCATAGTCTAAGTTGCTTCTTTAGGAAACCAGAACCTTGTTAGAGATATTCTCAAATTTTTGTTCATGTGTGTGTCAAGTACAGCATTAAGCCTTGTACATTATAATACAAATTGCTTTTAAAAAAGAATAAAATTTGTCTTAGGTATTTCTATGACAGTACATATAGAGCTATTTTATTCTTTAATTGTTGCATAGAAATTCAGAGTATAGCATAAGATGTATTCACTTTTGCAAAGTTTATAGAGAGCTGCCAGTTTTCCTGGGTGTGAGTGGTGATGCAGACACTGCACAGATAAAGGCTGTTGTAGTCTGGTGGAGGGACATAAACAAATGAGATGGAAGATACCCTAAGCAGGCTGACAAGAATAAGGATTGACTTTAGATTCAGTGGTCTATTTGAAGGCCTCTGAAGAGAGGTGACCCTTAAGTTGAGAACTGAATTAAAAGGAGTCATTCACCTGAAGTAGGAGAGGAAGCTCTATGTGGAGGAAGGAAGTCATTCAGACATTTAGGTGGTCACCAGCATAGTGTTTTGGGGATGGACTGGG